GCAGGGGAGGGCGTCGTTGGGCTAGGGGGCCGCAGGGAAGGGTGTCGTTGCGCTAGGGGGGTGCAGGGGAGGTTGTCAACCAAGCACCTCCACCCCCTTCATCCCTTCCCCCTTCACCTCCTCCACCGTCGCCACTGCCACCATCTCCACCTCCGCCCCGCATCCCCCTCTCCTCTCTCCCCCCCATATCCAACTTTGCTATCTTCCTCCCTTCTTCAATGTGTGTTCACATCACCCGATGATGCAAAAGGAGGAGAAACATTTCTATAAAATACCTTATGGACTACGGTCTCACCTGTTAGGTTGTCGGGGCTCCACTGCATTTCCGCCTGGCCCTTCGGCGGACTCTGGACTCCACTCCATGTCCACCACCACTGGAGACGAGGCGCCTACACTAGTGTACTGACAGTACTGACAGGGAGGACCTAGCTTCAAATCGCTGATGATCTACATGTGACGTGTCTGCTAGTTTCGTTTATTGTACCTGTTTCATCTCCCATGCATTCCCATCCGTTCTCACCTGCACCTCCGTCGCCAACCGTTGCTTCTTCAGTGGCAACAATACGGATCTCCACCTCTCCATCCGCCCCAATGTGTCCAGGTGATCCGTCACCTGGGAATAGCAGGGCATACGTCCACGACACCATGAAGGGTTCATCGTCGTCCCCGCAGTCGCATGTGATCACATGATGGCAGCTCCGGTGACGGCGACTCAGGCCACATCATTGGCAACATGACGCGGTTGCCCGTGACGTCGCCTGAGTCGCCGTCACCGGAGCTGCCATCACCACCACCCCGCCACCACCCCGTTCACCCCATCCCCTTCACCTCCCCTGCCGTCACCACGGCCGCCATTTCCACCTCCGTCCTCTTCACTGCGGCAATCCCCGCCCCCCCATCTCCGTGGCCGCAATCACCCCCACTACCCTCTCTCTCCCCTGCATTCCCATCCGTTCTCACCTGCACAGCTGTGCCGCCGTTGCCCCTGACGTCGCCTGAGTCGCCGTCACCTGAGCCATCATCACCACCACCCCCTTCAACCCATCCCCTTCACCTCCCCTGCCGTCACCAGTGCTGCCATTTCCGTCCTCTTACCTTATGGACTACGGTCTCACCTGTTAGATTGTCGGGGCTCCACTGCATTTCTGCCTGGCCCTTCGGCGGACTCCACTCCATGTCCACCTCCACCGGAGACGGGGTGCCTGCGCTGACAGGGGGGACCTCGTTTCAAATCGCTCATGTCCTACATGTGACGTGTGTGCTAGTTTCGTTTGTTGTACCTGTTGGGTCCGGTTTGTTAGCTTGCGGCTGTGCTCCCGCACCAACCACCGAAGGGCCCGCCGGAACGGGAGCTTGTTGCTGAGGACATTCATCTGCATCATATTGGACGTCGCAAGTTTTAACCATACATAGTAGCTGTCAATGTATTGCAGCAACTTCTCACTGCGTCCAGCGATCATCTCGTTAGGAGCCACGGCATCGAGGCCAAAAAGCTCTGTGCCATTATTACCACCATGAGGCTGGACGCACTGATGCGTGATGACGTGATTATATGCATGAGACGTGCTATGATACTTGCGTCCGCAGGACACACACGTAATTTCAAATTTCGACAACGCATATAGTTGACCGCGGCAGAGGTAACGTGGATATGTTTTAACTGAAGGGGCCATCTTTATTAGCTATTATTACATCTTCAACAGAAAGCAGGACTTGCGAACAGATGCTGTGTGCATTTGTATGTTCTGAAGGGCCCTACAGCCCTTCATTCTGGGACAAGCGCAGACTTAACGAAACCTTACGTTTGGAGTATTTGTACAGTCATAAGTAATTAAAACAATCCCTGGCATGGCGATATTACAAGGCTTTTGCATGCTAAGTGGCCATTTCAGCCGAACTCCGTCGATATGCTCTGAAGGCCCCTCAGCCCTTCGTTATGAAATGGGCACGAATGAGCACGAAACGACAACTAGATGAAGGGATTCCCGGGTATCGAAGGGAAGCTGGTTCCCAGAGTGGTCCATCCATGCGTCAAACCTATTGATGACGGACAGGTTCCAAGCCTTCATCCCCATGCCGTACCCCGACGCATCAACCATGCAGGGCAGCGTTGGGCCTCTGCCCTACACCACGTCAACCCACATCAACAGTCGTCGCTTTCACGGTATATAACACGCCATCACACTGCGCAAAATCCAGTCGACGCCTGCCAATACAACCATCCAAGCCGCATAACACCGATGGTCAACGATATCAACGAACAATCAGAAAACGCCGACACCACCACGCGAACCAGGCATCCTCCGCTGCTCAGGGTCCGCTACAAACGACTCGTAGACACAGACCCTGCCTGCGCTCTCCCAAAACCCCAAGCGTGTGCCACTGTTTCGCCGCGTCCCAGACACGCGCTCTCAGGAGGCTGCGGTCCCTGAGCTTTGCAAGCCCCCTTGCATTATGATACGAAGGAATCCCTATGCATAGCGTTGGGTCTTGCCACACGCACTGGTACGCACAGCCAAGGCAAGCGCAGGAGGCAGAGGCCGGTTGTGTAAAGCTGCAGCTGGTGCGGCTGCTCGGCCGGCGGCTGCCGCTCTAGTGATGCGCCTTGGGCAGCGCGATGCTGTAGAGCAGGTCCACAAACGTGCTGGGCGCGTCTATGCTAGTGGACCCTAGAATCACGTCCCGATCCAGCTCACGCGCCAGCCGATGAGCCACACGCATTTCGCCTGGTGGGAGAGACACGCGGGTTGGCGCACGAACCATGTGAACCATGGCACCGGGTTAGGGAGAGACCGTGTGAGATTGTGTCGGTTCCGGAGATTGTAAAAGTGCAAGGAAACTTAACTTGAAGGATGGAGGCGGAAATCGTTGGGTCGGCCCTACTGGAATTCGTATTTAGAAACCGATAATGGTTCTAGACGGTTGATACTTTATCCGGAGCTAGATCTCTGGCTTCTCCTCTTCCTCCCGCGCCCATCCCACCTCTCGTGGCCCCGCCTATGATGAAGACCACAAGGCGCCGCCCCGAAGGCCCCAAGCCGGAGCCACCCGCCCCGTCCTGGTTCCGCTTGGCCCAATTCAGGCCGGAACGTGCCGTCCGAGCCGAGGCTGCGACTTTGGAAGGGTCACTGTCGGCCCCGGAAGAGGGCGGCCTGGGAGGAGAGAGTATGACGGGAAAGACAAGCGACCCCAGTTGCCACTCAACGGCGAACGCGGAGAGGCGGGATGCGAACGCGACGGGTGAGCATGCGGAGAAGGAGGGATGGCGTGTAGCGCGGGGCGGTAGGACCGTGACCCAAGCAAACGTAATGAGATGGCTCGACGTCGTCTTCATGTATGCAGGGCGTTTCAGCAACAAGGAGCGGCAGCACCAATATTCTCCAAAATAATGGACATGACATGGCAGGAGCGTGAGCGGAAGAAGAGGGAACGGAAAACGATACTGTGTAAGAGAGAGCATGAAGACGCGCCTTCTACCAACATCACTACTGCCGCTTTGTAGGTGGCGCCAGCAGGGCGTTTTGCCCGCGCAACCTTTTGCTAACCTGACATACGGAAATTTCTCCGTGCTCATCACTCCCATCGCCATGTCCGTCACCAAGTCGTGCAGCAGCGGCTGGAAGCGGTTGAGCGCGTATTCATCCTCATCGCCGTTCTTTTTGCGCGTGGCCTTCACGGCGTTCTTCTTCTTGCTGCCCCCAAAAAAGCTTTTGCTGCCTTCCGACGGCACGGCTGCCGAGAAACAATAAGGGATTACGAGGCCGACAGAAAGGGGAGCAGGCGCGCTAGAATCAGCTTGGACGGGAGCGTGTGCATATACACGTTTGGCAGGGCTTGAAGGTTTCAGCGGCAATTATTGTAGAAAGGCAAGCCCGTATAGTATTTGGTTTCAAGGCAACGATAGCCATATAGCCACCTTGCTGGGGCAAGGCCAAGTTTAGCAACGAAGCCGGTCGTGATGTTAATCCTGCGATGCTGCTGTGTCGTCGGACGGCTGCGAAAGTCGATACTAAGCAGCATGGTGCATCGGTGGCTTTCTGCGCTATAAGCAAGCAACCACACGAATTCAGGTACAACTACCGGTACACCTGACAACATGGGATGGAGAAAAGTGCTGGCATGGAGGCACCCGCGACCGTCAATGGACCCCAAATCCACGCCCATGACCGCGGGAATCCGCAAGCTATTCTTCCCCGAATCCGCTGCTGCATTCTCTTTCCCCCTTTCCCGCCCGCTTACTCACGTGTGTCCATGACGCGCACGCCCAGCCGTGTAAGGCCTTCGCACAGCGCCGACATGTCGTCCCTCGTGAGCCCCGCAGTCTGCCGAGCGGCATGCAGGTCAGTAGCGGTGGCGGGAGTTGGTGGGATACAGCGGATTCATGTAGGAAAAAGAGGAGTGCGCCCCGACAGGGATATCGGAGCGGGTAGGATACGCCCCGGTTGACAAGTGTCCAATACATCCAGAAAAAGACGATCTACCTAGGGATGCAGACGGTATCTTTCAATTGCCATACATCTCCGGGTAAATGGCCTTGAGGTTTGCCGCAGCCTGATGATGAGGCGGCACCCCGTAACGGCACCTCGTCCCTTGCGGGCATGGACACCACCACGTCCTCGAGGGTGCTGACACGCCCCTAATCTTCAAACATCCATTTAAGAGCTCACCTTCCCGGAGCACTGACACGCGGAGCCTACCGCATCCGGCGCCAGCGTTTGTGCGGAATCGCAGACCTCGGAGCCAGCATGTGGGACATGTGCGTGCCGTAGGCATGCATGTGCTTGTCCAGACCACTTTCATGATGAATCTACATTACGCCGACCGCACCCGCACCTCCGCGCCTGCTGCTGCTCACTTACCTTCTGCCACTGCTGCCGCTTGGTCTCATCCAGCTTGCCCGGGTGGGTCGCCAGGTAGCATGCCAGCAACCGCAGCTTGTCCGAGGGGTCCATTTGAGACTGGTGCTCTGTGGGTCAGCCCCAGCCCACATCACGCGGGGCCAACCACACCGAATCCAGGGGGTTCCAGGTTTTGGTTAGGGATTAACCAGGTCAAGCCGATTTAAGCCGAATCAAGCCGAGGTGAAGGGGTCCAGATGTGAGCTTGGTAGTCGCGGTGAAGCTAGGGAAGCGGATAAAGGTCGATGCTAGGGCGTTTATGAGAGGACCACGGAGTACGGATGCCCCATATTCCCCGCCCACCACTAACGCAGCAGCACAACTACCCGATATGACCTTTCCTTGGCAAGGGCATTACACTCAGCCTACAGTCATTCACGCATCTCTTCCCCATGCGTTGCTCGGTCGATACCCTAACATCCCCCTTCTAACAATTACTCCTGCCACACTCCCCCCCCCACATCAATGCACAACTTACATCCGCGCCCGCGCTCAGAGCTCACAGATAGACAGACAGGCAGACAGACAGACAGACAGACATACCTGTGAGGAACGCCAGAAGGTCCTTGGAGTTCTTCTCCCCAACCACCACGTCCTGCTCCAGTTCGCCCACGTCCGTCAATGCCCGCGCATGCGTGGCAGTTTGAAGCTCGGTGCTCAGCTGGATGTGCATTGCCAGTCGGCCCAACTGCTCCCGGTATTGCGGCAGTGCAATAATGAGTTGACGGATATTCGACTCCGACATCGCGTCGCTGCCCTTGCCTAGACCAGTACCTGGCGGCGAGGCGGCGGAGGGCGGAGGCGAAGGTGTGCGGATGTGTAGTGCACGGCGAGCAAGGCAAAGAGGATGCGATGTGAAACGACGCGATGTGGAATGTAAAGATGGAGCTCGGTAGGAACTTGTACGAGGCCTCCCTTGTAAAAGGCCTCGAGGATGTATACGGGTGTGCTTGAGGGTTAGGGAGATACCAATGCAGATCAAGGACAGGGCTTCGACGCCAATGGATTGCTGAGTTTCAGAGGAGCAGAGCAACGCAACATGGAACACAGCTGTGCGGATGGGTACTAAACACGAGGGCCGTCCTCTCTCACGCTGCTGCTATACTGAGAGCCGGATAGGTGGCAGTAGTTCCCAAGTGCTGTCTTAACCTGCATACAGCAATTAACCACTTGCAAAGCATTCCCAATGCGTTCTCTCTGAAACAGAACAAAGGTAGGATCTCGGGCCATACCCTAATGCAAGCACATGGGGTTAAATACACGAGGTAAATGTGCCTCACGCGTTCTTGCTACAAACAGCAAAGTAGAGGGGATTGACTTTGCTTCTAACTGGCTTCGTTGCCTTGCCCCTGCTGGCCGCTTTACACCGTTTCGCTTCACAATACAGTCATCGGAACTGACGCCCTCTCCCTTGGAGCCCGTCTCGGACCCTCACCAGCCGCCTTGGCCGCCTTGTTCTTGCTCCGGAACTCATCAAAGCGGGCATGCAGCGTCGTGTACACGTTCGCAATGAACATATGGCGTAGATCCAACCACAACTCGTCACCCTCCTCCAAGATAGCCTCCCGCGGCTCCGGCTTGCCGCCGCCCTGGCTCTCCACCTGATACCTGCTCGACACACGGCAAAGCATCGCTTTACTTTTTTCCTAAAGTAGCTCGGCGGTGCATTCCCTCCTAGCGCAGCCAAGCAAGTCCTCGATGTGCGTCTGGCCCCCGGCCACGAAGGGAGCAGTTCACCTCGCTCGTGCAGTCACTTAGCCTGACCCCTGGGCCTCCATGTCCGGATGATGACTGGGCTGCTGGCAATCCCAGAGCAGGGCGTGCCAACCCATCAATTGATGCCGCTCGCACCTGTAGACTTTCCCTTCGAGGCGTAGCAGGTCGTATGCCATTGCCTCGTACGACCATTCGTGAATGAACGGCGCCACGGCGTCGTATGATCGATCAAGGATTAGCACGTCGCACGTCTCCTGCAAAGTGCAGGGACGAAAATCACTTCTGCTACTCCTTGGTTGCAGGTTGTACCGCTTCCAATAAGGCCGAATCACCCTTATGGCTGGGATGCAGAAGAAGCTTGTAACATCGCCAGAAAACAGGTTGCGACCCCACTTCCTATTCCTTTTGAAAGCATATCAAAGGTGTTTTTGTCATCTAATGGGAAATCATCGAATTGTTCCATTACTTTTCGTAAGTTACGTTTAAAATTTGGCTCCTTGGGAAACAAAAAAACTATTTCCCGCAGCCCTAAAAGATCAGAAGCGCCCCCGAACTCGCCCACACAATCCCACCGTTGTCGGCCATGTTGGGACCCGCTTTCGGTCGGGGGATTGCAGGTCCGGGGATAACATCGTCATCGCGGACACACATTGCGCTTATGCTACCGCTCGCAGCAGGATAATGCTACCTCGCCCGCTCGTAATCTGGCGCGCCTAAAGCCCCAAATACTCAACAGCCCCTCCGCCAAAAAGCTTTGCCACCTTGAGACAAAAAAACGACCGGCCGAACAGGTCGGCCCCGCCAGCGAACCCGCAAGTTGTCTAAAAACTGCGTTCCGTAATCCGCCAAAGGAGCAGCTTTCGTAATCTGAAGTAAGCATGTGTAGCCTGTCGTGGTCCACCCACTGCCACCGGCACTGTCCACCAATGCCCAGTCTTCGACAATGCTCAGCACCCGCACCTTATTTGGCAGCTGTCCTGCACGCTGCAAGCCAGAGAGCCTGTCCACAAGTCGTGAGGCGAGCAGCTGCGGAAGCGAGCCCCGCAAAGCCTGACCCGGCGGGTCACCCGGCTGCGGCGGCTGTACTGCCTTGTACCTGCGTCGCGCAGAGTGGATCGCCTTCGCATTTATCCTTCCTGCAAGCATGCTTGGACGAGTCCCTGGGAGATAGGGACGACGAGAGGAAAGCGCGTACACGCAGCCCTCGTGCATGGACGGCATGGACAAGGTAAAATTGCCATACAGACCGAAAGGAGATCTACAGGGCACAGCCGGCGTACCTTACGGACGGGAACTCCTTTAACGACGTAAAGAGCGTCGCCAAACGGGATGCGATTGCGTCCATTTCCTTCTTAACAGCCGACTGGTTGTCAGCTGCATCGCCCAGGAGCCTGCCGTTGGTGTGTGCGTGCAAGGCAACCACGTTCTCGTCGGTAAGGAGTTTCAATTAGCAGCCGTACGCAAGCGATCACACGCAGCATAGCATCCGGCGCAGATGTCCACACACGCCGGCCCGGGTGCAGGGGCACACAGGGCCTGATGGACACCACCAGTCGGACAGACTCCAGGGAGCCAACTAGCGCCTGTACTACAGACACGGGTTCCTAAATCCTAGTGCGCTTTTCACGCTGATGCCTACCCAGGATTGGCGGACACCCAAGATTTGCACCGTCGCACCTGGCATCTAGCGCAGCCCCTGCAACTGTACACTTATACCGTGCTATACCCAACTGGACTACCCTCCATTTTATCGCCGTCTTCCCTTTGCCCTAAATATACTCCCATCGACACGGAATATCCCCGTTTCGCAATAGCGCCATGGGTTCTCTCCCAAGTCCGAAAGCAGGTGGGTGGCGTACCCAGCCATAACTCACAAGCGAGCTGCCTCCGGGTGGTCTGTGACCATAGTGCGCGAATCCACTGTCAGAAACTCCAGGTTGAGCTCCTTAAGGGTCTTCAGAGACTTAACCAGTCGTGGGTTTGCCTTCAGTTTTTCGAGACCCTCCGTCTGAAGCTTGTTCGAGAGGAATATATGTGCGGACGGATACAGCTGCTTCGCACCAGCCTTGCCGATTCCTGCTGTCCCGGTCGGACCCCCGAAGTCATCCAAAACCCGCGCGATGCTCTGGGGGCTGGGTTGGATAAAGTACACGGCGGCCTGCTGCAGCGGCTCTCGCCGCTTTGCTAGGTCCTCGACGACGGATACATTGCACTCAAGAATGTCTGACATGCGTAGCGTAGACGAGAGAACGTGTGTTGTAAACTCGTCTAGAATCAGTACTTTCCAGCCACACCCAGCACTGTCTATAACGCTGCCCAACATGTCCACCAGAATTCGTTCCTTGACGGCTTTCCGGCATGACTCTGCGACCAAAAATCCGACGGGAAATCTTGCAACTAGCTCCCGAAGCCAACCGCTCCAAAGCCCGCTGTGCGAGCATGCATAAAGGATAGGTAGAGGTACCCCATCATGAAGCTAAAGCATCATCAGCGCGATACTCTCCAAGTTAACTGATAAACGGTTGCCCCTCGGGCAAGATGACCACTAAGCCCCAGCCTATACACCTCCAAGATCAATTTCTCTATGTATTACACGTGCAGACTGCACAGATAAATACACGTGTGTGATGCTTACCCATGGTGCCAAGGTAAACACCTCAAAGTATCCAAAAGCGAAACTTTAAATCCAGCAGCTGCACACCGATGAGATGTTCTATCTATTCAACTATAAAATAGCTGATGCATTAATATGCCCGCCTAACGAAGTAGCTGCTGGCTCAGCCTATTAAAAGCCCTCACAGTTGCTGATAGGCAAATGTAACGTATACATAAAGAGTATGGTTAACCTAGGAGCAGCATTTCCAATTTGAACTGTCCAAAGCGTGCCTTTTCTCAACCTGGTGAAAGGCTAAATTGGCAAATGCACATTATTGTGCAATTGGAAGACTTTCAGCATGGTTGAGTCTGCAGAAAAGACCTATTGTGACAGGAAGCAGCACCTACAATGTTCTCCACCTGTCGTACGGTACCTAAACGGCAAGCCGGTAAAGGTTTGGCCCAGCTCCGTCCGCCCTCAGTGGATTGACACGTAACTTTGTGCAACGGGGTGACCAACGTGTTCGTATAACCAGAAGCAAGCTTTATATCCTACAACGAAGAGTTCAAAGGCCCCCTAGTGGCGAAGAGAGTCGCCTGCCTTCATTGTTTTTCAAGGATAGACCCTTAAGATTGCAAGCAACGTAATTTCAGTATCTTATATGGATTCGTTTTTGCCCTCATTTCTGCACACTCGCACACACGCGATAGCAAGTATACGTGCGATTCACTCGTTCATCCGGTACCGTCCAGCTGAAGCGCGCTACAAACGTCGCCTGGGCCATCCATGACTTCAAGGAATTCCATCCAGAGTACGGTACTGATGGAACTCGATGATTTGTTTGGATGTACCGTACCCTCTTGCAGTACCTCGCATATCGCACTCCAAATTTTTATAGACTGTTTCGTTCTTATACGGCTCCACCGGCTGAGCACAGTGCTCGAAGTGATGGCTTGCCTGGAAACCACGCTTCGGGTTTCGCCGAAGATAAAAAGCACCACTTCACGTTATGTTCGAAAGGTGGGTATGTCTGCGTCGGTCTGCACGGGCCGCTAGCTTGGGGAACTAAAGCAACATTCAGAGCTTATTTGTCTTACTTCGTAGGTGTTAGGACTGATAAAGCTTTTGCAGTCCCTTAGCTCCTCAGGACACCGTTTCCTTATGACCTGCTTAACGAATAGGTCCGTTGTCATCGTGAAACTGACCCAACATCCGTAGGAACGCATCAGCGCTTGCCATAGCCATAGCCTAGCCGTCGAAAGAACCAATCAGCAATACGGGACACTGTGCGCTGCACCACAAATCCTTGCTGCCGCCACGAAACATCCTTAATCGCTGCCAGGGAACCAGCAAGGTATCGGGGGATTGAAACCAGCTATGATCTGGTACTAGTTACAAAAGTCAAGGAGTTGTGTCACGCACGGTGCAGTGACTGCGCTGACTGAGGGTGGGGACCCAAAGCTGCAAAGCTTCATATGCAGGGAGGGAAGCGGTATGTTAAGGGACGTCAAAATTTTGCAGGAAGCATCTTACATTCAATATGGTATCGGAGATAAACTCCAAAGATAATTCCCCCCAAAATGTATAAATAAAAAATTCCTTTCCCTCCCCCTCTTCCCTTCCCCACTCTTCTTTCCCTTCTCTCACCTCTTCTCACTCATGCTGCCTGCATCAATGCAAAGCAGATCTTTTGGGGCTGCATCACTTTACGTGGGATATGGAGCAGGAGGAGCTTCCCCCAGAAGGGAAACTTATATACATAGAGGCTAAAGCTGCCAAAATTATTGATAGGAACCTGGGCCCGGTTGCACATGACAGGCGGCTCACTGGGGTTCCTAAGCATTTGTTGATGTTGTTACAGGGTGGTTAAGCTTCACCAGTGGCCTCCTTCCCGAGGCAGTTCCCTGCTCTCCCCTGCTAGAGGGGCACCCTAAGCCATTCACCCCATCCGACTCCAGAGTGTACTCTTTGAGTTTGGCAACTCACCACTAGCATCCAATCAAATGTAGCGGATCAACGGCGCATCAATTTAGTTCCTGATCAGCTCGTGGGTTGATTTTCTCACGTCCTACACCGTCCACAAGATGGGGGGCCACCTCCCATTTCATCACTTCCCACACACCCCGAGAGGTCGGCAGGCGGAGTTGAACCCAGACGCGCCGGAACGCGTCGGGAGCAGAAGCCAGGCCTTAACCTCTGCCAGCCGCCTACCTTTGTTGTATGGCCATCCGATTTTGGGCGCTTTGGGGGCATTAGCAGTTCGAGAAAACGTACAAGCGCGATGGGCGTGCTGGGCAGTGCGTTTTGTGAGGGCGATAGTCCAGCCAGTCTTAAGACGGCCGCCTTGGGTGTTGGTCATGCACTCTTTCCTGCATGCCCTTTACCCGACGTACAATCCTATGTGTCTATTCACGTCCCAGGCGGGAGCGCCTTGGTTTGGGATAATCGTTGTACCGCCAGATGTTCAGCGCATTGTGACAGCGTTGGCATACCTCCCTTGAAGATGTTGATGTTTATCCGTTAGTTCCTTAGTACGTGGTGTTGGAACTTACCTCTGTGGGAAAACCCAGTTCTTCCGGTAAAGCGATTGAGTGTCCCATCAGCTGACATTCGCTCGCCCAGGACTGGAGTTTCGACACCAAGCACTCCTGCGCTGTAAGGCATTGAAAACGTTGGGGAATGTTCTTCTTGCGCGAGATGCTTTAGATGCGGTCATGCACACACCGGACCAGGCAGGCCTAGCAATGCGCAGGGCGTGGCATCCAATAGTGGACCCATACCTCCAGTGTTTTTAAAAGTGATTACTAGTGACCAAGTGGTTACTGAGAAAATAATTCCCTTCCAGAAGGTGGTCCAGGGTTCGACACCCCGTACGGGGCCCGTAAGTTTTTGGCCTTTTTTCGGTATCCCCGTCAGGGCCCGTAGGACTTTACAGTGGCCCCCGTAAGGATTTTGGGGCGCGAAGCGCCCCGTACGGGGCCGCCCCCGGACCGCCCGAAGGCCGGTTACGGTGGCTCCCGTAAGGATTTTAAGGATTTATAAGAGGCCGTACGGGGCCCTGTAGGGGAGAGGACGGACCATATAAAGGATAAGGCCACACACTTGGCAGACATAATTCATATTGCAATATTTAACTACACTTTTCATAATACTTTTATAGCTTCTGGTCTGTAACATCCAGCGATGGCAGACAATGAGTCGTCAGCAGGTGATCAAGGGCCTCCTAATTGACAAGAACCGCAGGCCTGAAAGTTGACCGAAAGATTTGTGTTATAGGCAACCCCAATGATGCTCCTGAGGAGCTTGGCTCTGAGGATTTTGATGATGAGGAGGATGAGGAGGACGAGAAAGAGGAGCAGATGGGATGGGCGGCCGCGGCGGCCAAAGCGCTTGGCTTTCGCTGAGTGTGCCGTGTCCCCGAGTGTAATGGTTCACGAGAAAATAACGAAAATAACGATTTACAGGGCAAAAAAATGCAAAGCGTCACTTTCCAATTGGGCCACAGAACCCCTTAGCGACCACCTAAAAATTTCTTCCCGCCATATCTTTCTGTACATATATCCGTACGATATATAAGCGTCATCTTGGCTGTTCAAAGCCGTGAATGAGCGTTGTGAAGTTGGATCTTCGGATGCATGGTTCTAGTGGGCTCCTATCCAGCATACTCGCTGGGAAAAAAATATAAGATGGTTACCAAGGAAAACCCCCACAGTAACCACTTGGTCATTAAAAAATTGCCATAACTAGTAGATGTTTCCCGAAGGATAACATAGCTCAACTAAGTTACGGGCAAAGCTTTGAGCTACCACCTAAAACCTTTACTAGTTTTAATGAACTTTGTTTCATAGCTACCGAAATAACATCTTTTGGTTTACACATGTAACTAGGAATATTTACTTTTTTATTATTTACACGAATATGTCCATGACTAATAAGTTGACGCGCTGCTGGAATCGTAGGTGCCATATTTAAACGAAATACATTATTATCCGGCGAAAAAAATTAGAAACACTGCATACCTCCAGCCGCAGACCCCACTAGCTCAAATCCCTTTGCACCTTTCGTAAGTGGCACGAGTGTATTAATGCCATTGTCGCTCTCTTAGCTGATATCCCAGAGTATTGGCGACAGGCGGCTAGTCTTCTGTTGCTCTGAGTGCAGAATCTAGGGCAGCTATGGTGCCCTCCATTGAGTCTGTTACCCAAGCCCTGGTGTCGAGGTTAGGTTGGAGATGGGGTGGAGGGGCCCCCATCAGACTTCAAGATGTATCCGTTAAATTAGCTACTGGTCTGCAACTTTCGCGACTTTCTGTGGCTCGTCGAGTAGCCCATACCCTGTTTATTGAAGAGGCGACGGGCTTTGCTGAGGTACTGGATGGGGCTATTCTTACTTTGCAACGGACCTTCCATCGCGTATGGTCTCATCTACGATGGGAAGATGAACCAAAAGTTGGATTGGTGGCGTCTCACGGTTGATGGAGTGCCAATGTTAGGAAGTTCCCATCTCAGGATGTCGCAGCCAGCAGTGTGTAGTTGTGGAGGCTATCCAGTAGGTTCCCAGGGAGGGGTATCCCTTCGTTGTCATCACTTCTGGGCCTGTTCGGTGGCACAGGCAGTAGCGTACCAACTCACTCTGTCAATAGGATTGCCAGCCTCACGGGAACAACTTTGACTTGTCCAAGCCCACAAACAGTGCAACCATGTGTTTGGGATGTTGTGGCTCTTGCTGCGGTGTCAGCTATGGAGCATGGGAGACGATAT